GCTGGTCGTAGTTGGGCCGATGAGTTGCCATATGTCTTATGGACTTATCGGACGACCCCGAGGGAAGCTACTTTGGAGACCCCTTTCGCCTTGGTTTATGGAGCAGAAGCCCGACTCCCGATCGAGGCTTGGATCCCGACCGACCGAGAGAGAACCTACAACGCCGAGGAAAATGAACATGCCATGGCGGTGGATCTCGATGGGGTCGAAGAAAAAAGGGAGCTAGCCACTCGGCGTATGGCCGAGTACCAGAAACGTGTCAAGAGTTCGAAAGACGTTCGGGTCAACCCTCGCTATTTTCAAGTCGGAGATTACGTTCTACGACGAAGGGAGGCCAGCCAACCTCTAGAGGGCGGAAAGCTAGCTCAGAACTGGGAAGGGCCGTACATCATCAATGCTATCATACGGCCGGGTACATACCGACTAGAGACAACGACTGGTCGGCTAATCGAGGGGACCTGGAATTCCGAGCACCTCGTTCTTTTTAGGCATTAGCCTATTCTTTGTATTTTCTGGACGAAGTGGGGGCTCGACCTGCGAGTTAGTCCCGGTCGTCATTTCTATGTAAATTTATGGTTGTAAAATTAATTCAACCGCCTGCGAGCGGGAAAGTTTAATGTATATACGATCGATGATTGCTCGACCGTTTGTATGCGGCGGCCCGATCGGTTACTTTCTTTCACCTTCGTTACATGCAGATCAGTTCAACATTAATCAACCGGGCGAAATCCATCGACCGGTCAAAACGCGCTCCACATTGGCGGACACTAAAGTCACGCCGCTGATCGGGGAAGCCAGGAGCTCTCAGCATTATCCCCCGATCCGTCCAACTTCTGTCCACTATTGCACCCACTCGTGCCTCGAGCGCACAATAGTGTGGGGGCTGGGATAAGGAAGTATTCGCAGGCCCGTCGCTCGGTTACATCCCGACCGTAGAGGCTTGCTTTCAAAAATTTTTCGACAAAGGCCCGGGGATCGGGTACACCCGATCGGTTGGCCAGATTTGACGTCGAAATATCAAACGCACGACCAGGCCATAAGGTCGTAAGGTCGGGCGTCGAGTGGGTCGAACCAGTGCAAGATCGGGCCACAAGGCCGCGAGGTCGAGCATTAAGGGTCAGCACTTACGCGATTAAAGATAAAAGTGCGAAAAGAAAAAACGAGCGACGCAAGATAGAACAAAAAATAAATTTCATTAACAAACAAAAAGTTGCCCGGTACAATTCGGGACCGGGCTCCCGATCAATGGTCCTTTACAAAAAAGAAGAAGAAGAAAGGAGCCTATTCTACTTCTTCATCTCCCGAGCTCCGGCAGCCGGTTCCTTTCCGCTCGGGGTGGCCGCCGTTGATGCCCCGGCTTCAGACGCCTTGGCTTTTGGGGCGAAGGGAGAGGGACCGGGATCGGCTAGGTCCGGGGGTAATACCGAGAGGACCAGCTGAAGGTCTTCCCCGTCTAGGGCCTGCTCCAACCGGGAACGGACTCGTTCGAGCATCTTCCGTTTCCCGGCCGTAAAGCCCCAGCGACCGAATGAGACGATCAGCTCTTCCCCGATCTCTGTTCCCCGGGCTGCTGTAAGGAAGGCCGAGCCCGAGTCCTTGTCTTTGAAGGCTGCCCGCGCCAGCTCGCTCGGATTCTCGAGCTGAGCCTTCAGCTCTTTGGCCTCTCCAATCGCCCGACTGACGACCTTCTCGGCGAGGACCCGCTCCTCGTCGCCCTTCTTCAGGGCCTTTTGCGCCTTCTCCAGCTCGGCCTGGAGCTCCTTGATCTCCTTCAGACGACGAGCGGCCGTCTTCTTATGATGATCAGCTTCCTCGGCCAGCATAGCCTGACCTTGAAGGAGTTGGGTCGCCCGGGAGATCTGCAGTACAAAAGGATATCCAGGGTTAGCCCGATCAAAGTATATTAGCAAGAAAGCTGTTAGTTGAGAAAAGCTCACCTCGGCCAGGTCGTGGCCGATCCGTTCAGCCACCTGGGTCGGGGTCATCTTCCCCAGATCCACTCGGGCTGGCGCGGCGTTGCCGATCCGTGCCAGCACGGACGTCGACTCCCTCTCTCGCCCGACCGAAGGGCTCGGGCTGTGCTGCTCACGGCGGCGCTTCAGGCTGCCCACCTCGGTCGCGCCCTGGTCGGCGACCTTCTCCTTGCCCCGGGCGACCTCCACCCGGGTGACCAAGACGTCAGGCTGCTCGACGATGAAGCCCTCGCCCGTCGACACGGTCGAGGCACTCAGGGGTCGGGCAGTGGGAATCTCCTTTTCCCCGGCTGCTTTGGTCTTGGCCTTCTTCTTCCCGCCGAGGGAGATCTTCGTGGGCGGGGGAAGGGCGGTGTCTTCATCGCCGAATTCTGCCATGGCTGCAATAAAAGAGCTAAGTTAGATAGATCAAGAAATGAAGCTAGGTCGGGAGGAACAGCTCGAGCTAAACCTTTCTTCTTCCATTTCGACGGCTTGGCGACCGTCACGCCCATCGGTACGGGAAGGTACTTCTCCTTTAGCTCGTACGTGGGGGGCGGGAGCTTGGCGGCTGCGAGACTTTCAGCCGTCCGGAAGATTGTGTATTCGTGCACCTCGCTCGAAATCCGGCTGACCGTGTCCCTCAGCGCTTGCGTCTCGACCGGCACCACTTGCTTTCTGAAGTGGCTGCTCCAAGTGCGATCGACCGGGAGGATCCAGGGGTCGTATTTGATGGAGAAAATTCTGTTCTTCCACCCCTTGTTGTTCCCGGGCAGGCCTTTGATGGAGCACATATCTGCTCGGGATTGCAGCATCAGGAACCCACCCCCGTAGCGGCCCGGGAGAACCTTGATCTGGTAGATGAAGTTGAACAACTCCATCGTGCACTCGGCCTCGTGCCGAGCGCATATCTGCGGGAAGCAGGCGAGGATCCGATGTGCGTTCGGGCAGATCTGGGCCGGGGCGACCCGGTAATAGGCCAAGAAGGCGTTCAGGAGGGGGGGTGAAGGGAATGGCGATCGGGGCCATCAGGGAGTCGTAGTGCATCCCGATCCACTTGCCCCGATGCCTGTCAATCACGTTTCCCAGCTGCCGGCTCGTGTCGAATTCTACCCGACCCCGGAGTATTTCAGCAATCCGAGCCGCCTCGCCTTTGGTCAGCAGGCTCATTTCTTGCTCGACACTCTCGCTGTTCAAGAATTCGAGCTCGACGGCTGGCGTGGCCGGCCCGGCCGGGTCTTCTTCGGTCTGCTCGGGGGTATTTTCTCGATCACCCCCTCGAGGAGCAGCTTCCGGGTGGTCCCCAACCACCCGGGTAGGCGTTTCCCTAACGCCCTCGGTCGGAGAACCCCGCCCGCTTGACGTGGTCCTCTCTTCCTCTTCTTCGCTGGAGCTCCCCGACCCGCTGGAGCTAGAGCTCGACGTCCCAGAGGAGCTTGATGCGCTGTTATGCTCGACAGCTCGATCGGGGGCTGGCGTTGCTTGGGGGCTGGCTTCGGGAGTGTAGGACATAATGTCCACTTCCTCGTCGCTGATACGCTCGACCTCCTCATCGTAGTCCGCGATCGAGGCGTTTTGACTGTCCGAGTCCGTCATTTCGATCTACCTAACGGTCGGTCGGGGTTAGTAAAGGACTTGAGTCGTCCGGGACAGTTAGTTGACCTAGCAGTTCTACCTATAGTTGAAAGCGTGAAATAAAGAGAAGGAGGGAGAGCTTACCGGATGAAGGAACTTTGCGAGGGAAAGCTTGAAGTTTGGTGATTGATCGCCTTGCTGAGATGCTCTGCTCGGGATTCTTAGAGGATACCGACTGAAGCAAAAGAGTGAGGAAAGTTCAAATGAGGGCCTCAAGGGCCTATTTATAGGAGGGCATTTAGGCGGGAAATGGGCCAACTTGCCTGATACGACCCGCGCTGAATCCGAGGCGACGGATGGGATCGCCGAGGCCGGCAGAGGCCGACACGTGGCGTAGGAGGGAATGACAGCTGGCCGGTCGGTCTAATGCCTGACGGTTGGGCTTCTTCATCCCGTCCCGTTTTTTCCCGACTGATCAAAAAGGCCCGGGCTGAGGGGCTTTTGGTAGGGAATATCCCGACCGACATAAGCTCTACCACGACCGACTTGCCTTTGTCTTTCTCTTATGATCTCTTCAGGTGGCAGGTCGGGCTTTTTCCATGAAGACCCCGGTCGGGAATGGCCGGGAGTTGCCCGAGCGCTGATGTCAACCACCGAGCGGTAGCCCTTCGACGAAAGAGCTGGCACAAGGACGCGAGAGGACGCGTGGCGGCTCTTCATGGCGACAGACAGGGCACCCGGGAAGATGACACGTGGTGGCTACGTGGAAGACATGCCGAGCGGCTGGAATCTTGTCCCCGGCATAGCGGCTATAAATGCCCACAGTAGCTACAGTGTAGGGGACTTTTGGACGATCGATAGGTTGTTGTTAGAGAATCCCGACCGCACTCAGTCGGTACTCAGAGCAGCCAAGTAGATTGTGCTTAGGGCCTTTACCGTGATCAATAAAGATTTTACTTGCTTTAATTGGTCTCGTGTTATTCTATATTGCTTACGTAGAATTAGCAGTATCAATGTCCTTTCTTTCTTCTTTTGTGTCTTCGACATGGCTTTCTCTCGGTTGCTTTTTAGTCGCTTCCCACTTCCTTTGTTCTTTGCAACTTTGGGTGGTTTTATTTGGATATCTCCTGGTTTGGTTGATCCGACTAGTCTTTCGAGCACAGATGCGTTGTTGGCACCATCTTCTGTTTGTTGCCTCTCCTTTTCTAGATCTTTTTTCAGTTGTTGCAATGTTGCCAACATTTGGTCCATTTTGTCTGGCCAACCATTCACCAATCCCATGCAGTTGTAGAATTCAGTCCATAGTTGATTGGCAACTTTTGTTGTTTCATTCGATGTTGGAATATTCGTTCTTCTTGCCCATGGAACATTGTGTAATGGGTGTGCACATGCGTCTCTTGTCCATCGTGGAACAATATACTTGCGTGGGATCGATTCATACCCTCTTGTCTTCATCACCAACAACACATGCCTTCATAGTATACCAACACGGTTGAATTTCTTGCACGCACACTCTATTTCCTCCGCTTGTGGGGTTTCTGTTACTTCAAACATTTTTCCATCTGTGTCCTCAACTTTGTACTTGCATATATCACCTACGTTGTGTTTGTGGATGATGTGGTTCGTGAAACTGGCTTCCCATATCTCTGTTTGGAGTTCGTAGAATATGTTTATAGTGTACACTGTAGCAGCATTCTTCTTAATACTCAAAGGGGTTTTTGTTTCCGGGTATGAACCTTCATTTTCTGCGATTAGCTTTGCTTGATTATGTCTTTGTTCTCCGATGGCACTGTTGTATTGTGCCATGAATTCTACCAAGCTGCAGTGGTGGTTTGTGAATTTACCGAAATAGTTGTTTTCTGATTCTGATCTTGATGTTGTTCTGAGCAGTCCTCCCATCAGTATGTCGTTGAAGTATGCCGGTATCCATGATGCACGTGCATCGTACAACTGGGTAAACCACCTATGTTCTTCTAGATTGTAGTCCTTCATTACCTGTTCCCATTTTCTCTCGAATTCATCTGTGGTTAACGTTTCATCCCATATGATACTATTCAATGCCTTTTTGAAGTCCGCGTTATGCCACAGGGTTGCCCCTACCTTTTCCCCCACTTTTGTGGTAATGTGCCACATACAGAATCTGTGCCTTGTTGTTGGCATAGTTTGTGGTACTACTATCTTGAGTGCTGGATCTTGGTCAGTTATAGTACATCTTGGTGCGTATTCCATTGCAGTTTTGAAGTTCTTTAGTAGCCACTCATACGACTCTACATCTTCTTTCGCAATCAGGCCTGCCCCAAATGTTATGCTTCTTTTGTGATTATCCACCCCCGTGAAAGGGACGAAGACTAACTTGTACCTGCAATGTAAGTACGGTGGTAGTTAGTATTGCATATAGCCGTTTATATACTGTGCACAGGAGTTTCATACATCACGCACAAATGCAGAGAAATTCATAGATCACTACATTATTCCGTGCGCACAACTGTTTTACCGGGCTAGCACACACAGTACTCATCATATTCAATCTACAGTGACATGTACCTGTTTGTGCTGTATGTAGCTTCGAATGACATGACATCGCCGAAACATGCGTAATTCCTTCGGGATTCTGCGTCTGCCCAGAATATCCTGGATAATTGAGCTTCTTCGTCAATGTCATAATCGAAATAGAAGTCCGGATTTTCTTGTTTTCTTTTGAACATGTCTTCTATCACCATTTGGGCGTCTGCCTCAGCTATATAGGCCAACAGGTCTCGCCTAAAATTGCAAAAGTCAATGCATGTCACTCCTAGATCCGTAAAGCTTCCCACCATCTGTTTGAAGAGTCTGAAAGCTTTTGTGGGACCTATGTTTGCCTTTGCACAGTGAGCCAAAAAGGTTTTGTGACCGATGTCAAGCTGCCTATTTATCTTTAAAAAAGGTTTGGCTTTATCCGAGCATAGACAGTGTGTATGGCGTAGCTCCATTGCATGGACTTTGTATCCGCCAGTGTCACACTTTGTCATTACCATACGTGCCTTACATCCTATCCTGTTTGACACTCTCCTCCGCCTCTTTCGTTTGTTCGCGGTATTTGTGGCTTCGTTCCTTTCCGCCTTGTAACCCTCTCGTGAGCATAGCATGTATTTAATTGACACTTCACCCATTCGGTTTCTACGCTTTGAGCCGTGCCTAACATCAAATCCTGCCTCCTTAGCGTATGCTTGGTAGAAATCAATCCCGATGTCAATTGTTTCAAATCGCTGTCCTTCGTATGGTGTCTTCTCGTTTTGGGTTGTAGGTGTCCAGTATTTCGCACCATCTTCTTGTATTTGCATTGTGCAGTCTCTATGTTTATTTTGGTATGCACCTATTGCACACAACGAATACACATATTTAGTTTGGTTGATTATGGTTGATGTGCTGTAGTCTGAAAGTTCAATTAATGTGGGCGGGTGTTTGGTTTTGTTTTTGTTTTAATATGTCAGCCGTATTGAGTTTTGAAAAGTGTGCATGCTAGACTCTTTTTGTGTGCTTGGGGTTAAATTGGCTCTAGTGCGTAAGCCAAACTGTGTGTACTCTACAACTTTTTCCCTGAGTGTTTGATACTGCCGTATGCTGGTTTCTAGATGTATGCATGCTACATTATATTTGGGTGCACTGGTCCAATTTCAGTTTTGTTACGTAATAACCCTGCCCTAAGATTGTATTATTATGCATGTGGTTTGTCACAACCTTATGGGGGTTCCAACCCGTGCATGCTGGGTAGTACGGTGTGCAAGGTATTTCTATGCTCTATTTCTGTGTTTTCTATGACTGAGGCTTATGGGGTTTTCGCTACTGTGCATGCAAGCCTAATATATTGTGCATCTGGGTTCATTGGTCCGTTTTTTCCAGTATTTCACTACTGACTGTCTTTGTTCTTCCTTATCTCATTGAAATATGGTGTCTTCTATGTGTGCACGGGTCTGTCTGTATTTGTACGTGTCATTATTCTACTTTTTCCCTACGGACATTACAGTTTTGCTTGCGTGTTGGTGATTAGGGTTTGTGATTACTCTTATGTGCACATACTATTGAATAATAACTCATGCTCTGTTGTACATCTATCATAATGAAGGTTGGATGATTACCTGGAAGGGTTGATGACGTATTCTCCATGTTCTACTGTGTGGGTTCTGGGTCGGTGCGTTGTGGTAGACGTTAGTCCGAACGGCGATTTGCGGTGGAGTGGTGGTTGTCGCTGGAGTGGTGTTTGGCGTTAGAGTCCGGCTGTCGTGCGCAACAGAGATGAATTAGTCCTAGTCGAATTAATCTTCTTTAAATTAGGCTACATATCAGAATCATATTTCTACCTTAATTAGTAATCTCTTAAATTGTCTTAATTGCCCTTTTGGATGTCGTTTCATGATCCTGGCTTAAGTTGTTCCACTTACATCTAAGCCATTAATCTAATCTAATCTAATGGCCCATGTTTATCCACATGTTTGTATTTTAAGGGGGTTTTCACCTGAATGGGACCCTATATATATATATATATATATATATATATATATATATATATATATATATATATATATATATATATATGGGTGAGTTCAAATGAGGACAACAATATATAGAGGATTGTGAGGACAGATCTAGTGTGTGCCATTAGCCGGTATATATATACTCTCCTCGTCCCGCCTCGTCCTTGAATATATATATATACATCCCCACGCACATTAAGCACAAACCTCACGCACATTAAGCACAAAACACACGCACATTAAGCACAAAACTCACGCGCATTAATCACAGATCCGCTCACCTTAATTTTGACCTAGATGCAAAAATTACAAAATTGCTAGATGCATTTTTTTTTAAACTTTGATAATCCTGGACGTTGATTAAAGCGAGATGAATGGCTCAGATTAAACCGCACAACCGCACCTGAAGCCCTCAACCGCACGAGAACCTGAATATATATATATATATATATATATATATATATATATATATATATATATAGGGTAGGGTTCCAGTGAGAACATGTGCTTAGGTGAGAACATGAGAACACATCATGTGCATCCATCTAATATTTTTTAATGGTCTAGATTAGATTAAGTGTGTGCGAACACACATTAAATAGCACACATTTAATGTGCGTTCGCACACACTTAATCTAATCTAGACCATTAAAAAATATTAGATGGATGCACATGATGTGTACTCATGTTCTCACCTAAGCACATGTTCTCACTGGAACCCTACCCTATATATATATATATATATATATATATATATATATATATATATATATTCTCTTATAAGTTATAAATGGGGTTGGGGATTCTCCGTCCCCGAAAAATTTCCGTGGGAATGGAGATGGGGAGAATTTTCGTTTCCCCGGTAGGGATGGGAAGTATGTCCCCCGTCCACACCCCGCTCCGTTGACATCCTTACTTGGCGTATCTTTTCCTTTACATTCATATCTTGTATATCGTTGTACCGTTGAGAAAGTCTTGTTGTTGTGATCATTGTCTTATGATGATGTATTCTCTCGTGTCCCTCATCTAGAGTCTAATTGTTGGATTGAGTTACCTCGTTGATTATAACTCTTGAATTGATTCTGAATTGTCTTATCCTTAAATGAGCCATTTGAGATAGAGTTGATGGATATATATATATATATATATATATATATATATATATATATATATATACCGAAAATTTAAATTCGATAAATGGACTGATAAATGGTCGGTGGACCGACGTTGAGATTAAACGTTGGGCCAATTTAATTAATTGGATCATATAAATTAATTTAATTTAATTAGTCCAATTAAAATTTGATTTGGACTATTGAATTAATTAATTAATTGGCCCAAACCCATTTCATATTTGAATTTGAATTATAGTTATAATTTAAATATAATATTTATTTTATTATATTTGAATTATATAATTATAATTTAATTTGAATTTGAATTAGATTATACAATAATGAACCTAGACTTGATCCTGGGCAAGGTTCATTTTCTAGAATAAATAAATAATTAATTAAAGGGGGAGTTTGTTGAGGAATGTTGGTTATGCTTCTAGTATAAATAAATAGAGCCTTCATTTTCATTCCAAAACACACTTGAAAGCTTGAAGAACTTGAAGGATTGAGAGCTTGAGGGCATTGAGCAACTTGAAGACTTGAGGAATTGAGAGCATTTGAAGAGCTTGAAGGCATTGAAGAACGCTTGAAGATTTGAAGGCATTTTTGTTGATTTTGCAGGCAATTTGAATCCATTGCAGGTACTTTGGAGCTTTGCAAAATCGATTGTCTCGAAGATCTTGAAGTCTTTTGAAAGCATTTGAGGACCTTAAGGCAGCTTGAATCCATTGAATGTGTTTTGGAACTTTGCAAGTGTGATTATTTCTAAATTCTTGACGTTCGCTGTTGAAAGTCATGCCAATTGAATCCAGGAAGCTACGCCACTTGAATCCCGGAGGCACGCGCCACTTAAATCTCGGAGGCTACGCTATTTGAATCCCGGAGGCACTTCCATAGATAACATCAGTGAAGAATCAGAGGACTAGACAGAGATTTTGTACCTGCATATTAAGTTATACATACACTGTACAAGGAGTTTTGTGGAATATATACAAAGTTTACTTTTTTGTGTTTACAGATTTTGGCACGCCCGGTGGGACAACTCTGCCTCTCCTTTCTTCACTGTTGATTCGCGGGCTCTATACGGAAGGAATCCAAAAATGGCATCAAGAAATCCCTCCTCCAAGATGACTTGCGCTCAAGCTACCCGCTCCAAGGCATCATCTGTGGCCGGTTCCTGTGACAGCCAAAATGTGGGAGGAGCAATGACTCGGAGCCGAGTGAGGAACCTAGGAGTGTAACTGCACGGGGCCCAGGACATCGCTCGCCACATCGTTCGAAGGATTGACAGAAGCTCCACCATGTCACGAAGAGCTATACGTAACAAGGGGTCATCCGCTACAATGGAGGTTGTTGGCAACAAGAATCCTACAAGCCAAGGAGCTCCCAGCAATAAGAATCCTACAAGCGAAGGAGCTCCCAGCAACAAGAGTCCTGCAAGCCCTACTCCCTCGAATAAAACCCCAAGCAGTGGAAGCTCATCACAGTCATCACTTCTGCGGAGAACCTCACCGGAATGGAATCACATATACACATCATGCCCGCTATGACAACGAACGCGGCTTCGGTGGAAGAACAACTAGCCAACATCACCAAAGCTCTTGAGGGGATAACTACGTTCATGCATAACCAAGAAAGGAGAATCAATGAGCTCAGTGAAAAGGTTGAAAGCGGAAGAAACGGCGAAACGAGTCGAGCTTCCGGGAAGCAGCCTCAAACCCAAGAAGATGAGATTGATGTCGAATCACCGCGTCTTCAAAGTCGGCCAGGAATGGAAGAAACGATCTCTCGTCCACCACCCAATGAGAAGAGTATTCCAATTTCTGAGGGCATGATACCCGTCGAGTAGTTGAACAACTACATCATGGGAGCAATTAAAGAGAAGCTCAAGGGAAGACAATCTTCATATACTTACACTAAGCCATATACTCAGAGAATTGAAGAAATGAAGATGCCGCTAGGCTATCAACCTCCCAAGTTCTAGCAGTTTGATGGAAAAGGCAACCCAAGGCAGCACATCGCCCACTTCATTGAAACCTGCAATGATGCTGGAACATACGGAGATCTCCTCGTCAAGCAGTTCATCCGCTCTCTGAAGGGCACTGCCTTTGATTGGTACACCGACCTGGAGCATGGTTGCATTGATAGCTGGAATGATATGGAGCGCGAGTTCTTGACCCGCTTCTACAGCACAAGAAGGACTGTCAGTTTCTTGGAGCTCACCACTACCCACCAATGGAAGGGTGAGCGTGCAGGCGCTTACATCGAGAGATGGAGGGAGTTGTGCCTTAACTGTAAAGAGAGGATATCACAAAGCTCCGCAATTGAAATGTGCATCCAAGGGATGCACTTCGAGCTCTCTTATATCTTGCAGGGAATCAAGCCTAGAACATTTGAAGAATTATCCAGTCATGCTCATGACATGGAATTGAGTATTGAAGCTAATGGGGGACTAAGTATGTCAAGTATGCCCGGCTCATCAAAGGCACCTGCAAACCAAGATGCCAACAAAGGAAGTAAGTTCTTTCCAAAGCAAGAGAAAAAAGAGACGATGAACGTGATGACAGGACCAATGCGAGTTTTCACCAAAGTGGCTGAGAAGCCCAACCAAAGATCATTCCCTGGCCCATCAAGGGGAGCTAGAAAAACAATTGTTGAAGAGTGGCTGGAGAAACAATATCCATTCTTGGATTC